TTTCACTTTTTCCCCATAGGCAAGATAAAATTGCTATTTAAGGGGCCCAAAATCCGGAAGTTTTTTGCCTATTCGGCACGACATAATAATATATAATTTTTATAATATATATAATATAATATATTAAATATTTTTATATAATTTTAATATAAATAAAATATATAAATAATAAATTTTTTTAAAAAAAATATATATATATAAAATATATATATTTAAATATATTATTATATAAAAATATATATATATATATAAAAAATATATATATATATAAAAATTTTAAATTTTAGAAGGGGGGCATTTTGGGTTTAAAATAATAAAACTATTGGGGGGGTAAAATTGGCTAGTGAGAAAATTTGGGAATGGGGTAGAAGATATATTGGGGAAGGTTTAAGAAATTTATGTTTGGGGTGTTTTTAAACAGAAAATTTGTAGTTACAGAAAGGGGGGTTCGGGGGGGAAGAAAAGCGATTGGTGGAAATGATGATGTCAAAAGAGTAAGTGTAAGGGGGAAAAAATTTAAAAAAATGAAAAGGTTTTTTACAAAGTAGAAGTGATACAAGGCGGGGAAAAGTTTTAAAAGGAAGAAAAAGAAAGGGTTTGGAAAGTGGAGAAGCAAAAGTAAAAAGAGACAAATGGGGGAAAAATGGGTAAGATTTTTAAAAACCCAAAAATTTTTTGAAAATAAAAAAAATTTTGGGGTTTTGATAAATAAGTTTGGAAATTTTTTGGGAACACATGGAAATTTTTTACAGTTAAAAAAAGGAGAGGAGAAAATTTGGGTTTAAAAGGAGAGTTTTGAGGTATCGGGAAGATGGAGGGGGAAAATTTTTTAGGGAAATTTTTAAATGCCCGATAAAGGGTAGGGAAAGCTGTGAAATTTTGGTATAGGGGCAAGGGGGAAAAAAAATCTGTAGGATGAGGAAGAGCAGTTTTTGAGTTTTGGGGGGGAAGTTCGTGAGGGAGTGGGTAGATGGAAACTGGGAATTTATGGAAAAAAGGGGAAAAAAAAAAATTTTAAAAAAACAGGTGTGGAAATAGTTTTGGAGTGGTTAGAAGGGAAATTTTTTTTAATAAATTTTATTTGGGAAAAGGGGGAAGGTACCTAGGGGTTTTGGCGAGAGCCCTGCAAAGTTCCTTTGTATAAAAAGCGAAAGAAGTGCAAAAAAATTTTGGGGAAAAAGTCCCCGTTGGTATACCTTATAAATGTAAAAAAGAGTTTATTACGAAAGAATTAAGAGTTAACGGGGAGTAGGGTAGCAGATGAAACAAGGAGGGTTTTAAAAAAATTTTGCCGGGAAAGTAACCCCGGTGTTTACATTTAAACATAAAGGTGAAACATTTTTAATAAAGGGTAAAAAGGTTTTTTTTGGGCTTTAAGGATTTTGGGAAAAAGGCCCTTGACAAGGGGGATAAGGGGGGGGGGGGGAAATATTTGGGAGAATTTTTGCGGATGTAAGGTAAAGGAGGTAGGTTACTGAAAGCAGTGAAGATTTTTTAAAGAGGATATTTAGGCTCGGGTTTGGGAAAATGTAGGAGAGAGGGAGATTATTTCCCAGTAAAATTAGGGGCCCTTTGACCCAAAGGGTTTTGATGTCACCGTGGGGTTCAAAATATTTAAAAGAAAAGGGGGCCCTAAGAGAAGAGAATGCGAGGTCTTGGCAAGAGGTTGGAGTTTTAAAAAAAAAGAATCAAACACAAAGTGGGAGTTTATCACAGTTGATCTTTTCTGAAGACACGTGGGTTTTTTGGGGGATTTTTAAAAAAAGTTGCAGAGTTTTTGGGGGATGAAAATTTGGTTTGGGTAAGGTGGAATTTTGGGAAAAAGTAAGGTGAAGGATAAAAAAATTAGGTGACGAAAGATTGGATATCAGATTAGGGGGAGAGAGTAAAGGGAAGAGGTGGGGGAAAAGTTCAGATATTTAGGAGTAAAATGTGCAGCAATGGGGCTAAGAAGGGTTAGGGGAAAAAAGGGTCCGGGAAGGGAAAAAGGGGAATGTATGAAAGTATAGTTAACGAAAACTCCTTTTTATGGAAGTGAATATGGGTGATTAAAGTTCCCGCAGGGGAAGGCTGGAGGGGAGTGGAGGGTTCCGCCTGAGGGCAATGCATGGGGTGAATATAATTTCAAGAATTCGTAGTTTTGGAAATTAAGAGGCGGTGCCCAAAGAATTTTCCAAAAATTATCCAAGTAATTTAGGGATTCAACATGAGAGAGAATGGGAAAAAACAAAAAATGACTTCGAGAGTTAAAAATCTGAAGATAAGGAAGGCGGGGTAGGTTCCGCCCTAGGAAAGGGGGAAGATGGAGTAAAGGAGGTTTTGTGTGTAAGGGGGTTCGACTTCCAGCAAAAACAAAGCAAGAGCTTAATTTTATAGGAGCGAATAGAGACAAATGTTTTTTAATACTTTATGTGCTGTTGGAGTGTGAGCAAAGTAACATTTATGAAGGGATTCAGGAAACCGGCAGGCCGGACTTGAGTCCTGGAGATGGGAAGTACAGTGTCTGCACTCTGAAGGAGGGTGTTAATGTTGCAGTTTTATAACTGTAGTGTAAAGCACCCCTCTGGTAAGACAGTGATGGAGTGAATGATGAAGAAAGATTTTCTTTTCCGGCCATCCTGCCTTGGTGGGATTCGGCCGATGTGTTAATATATAAATATATATATATATATAATATATATATAAATATATATATATTAATATATATAATATATATATATATATAATTATATATATTATATATATATAATATTTATATATATACATATATAGATAGATAGATAGATAGATAGATAGATAGATAGATAGATATACATCAAAGCACCATGCAGATGTGCCCTGGCTGGGAAGAAACATGATTTGTAAACCAGGCTGCCCAGCTTTTGAGACATTTGTAGCTGAGTGGTCTTCAGTGTTACTTGGGAAACCGATTCGGGTACCATGGTCTTGTGTGCTGTAAATCCGAGGGAAAGATTGCAAGACATGAGGAGGTTAATAACATTATCAAGAGGAGCCTCACAACAGCTGGATGCCCAGCAGTAAGGGAGCCACCCCAACTATGCAGATCTGATGGCAGCCAGAAGCGTCCAGATGGTATCACCCTTCAAGCCTGGACAGATGGGAAGCAGGTGGTGTGGGACTATACATGTGCATCTACCTTGGCTGATACCTATCTCCAATACACCAGGGAGGAAGGAGGGGCAGCTGCCAGCTTCAGGGAGTCCCAAAAGTCTAGAAAATATGGAGAACTTGCCCATCATTATATGTTTGTTCCCATAGGCTCAGAGACCCTTGGCTCATGGGGAAAGAGTGCATCTAAATTCCTTAAGGAGCTGGGAAAAAGACTCATCAGGGTAACTAGGGATCCCAGGGTAGCTAGTTTTCTGTTCCAGCGGCTCAGTGCGGCTGTTCAAAGGGGTAATGCCTGCTGTATTTTGGGTACACGTCCCAGCTCTGAGGAGCTGGATGAGATTTTCGCCTTATAATCGGTGATACACACGTAACATGTACCGTATATGCCACCTTTATATCAACAATGTATCTCTTAAATCTTCGAGTCTCCTTCAGCCAGAGATCAGTGTTTGTGTGTATTTCGCCTGCTCTTGCGAATTCCTTGCATATATATATATTATAATATATATATATATATATATATATATATATAATATATATATATATATATATATATATATATATATATATAATATATAAAATATATATATATGTTAATAATAATAATAATATATATCTCGCACAAGCGATACAGGACACATAACAACCACGGGGGGAGTAGAATGATAGCTCTAGACCTTTCGTGTTACGATCAACACATCATCAGGAGCTTGCAAAATTACAGAAAAGAGGAAGGTGTCCAGCAAATAACGTGAGACAGGGAGAAAGGAGGTGTTACCGGAAGTGACCAGCCACCAACAGTACCAATAACCTGAAAGATGAATATTATAGCATTAGAAAAAATCCCACAAACATTGATATTGTAATAGCCTAAATGAAACGAATTTAACGTGGCAATAATAAAAAATTCTGTCATATTCTGCTCTGACATCTATAACTGTTAATATATAAATATATTGTCAGTGATATAGAAATCACTGGCACTTATATCCTCCCCGCCTGGGACAATGTGTCACTTTAAATTACAAGAGAAAAAGGTACCATATAGAGGGAAGACTTCTAAAAAGTTATGTAAAGGAAACAGGGTTCATTAAAATGAATTCATTAAAGGGGGAGACGCCTGTAATAACAGAAAATCCGGCCAAAGATATTCATCCCACATGATTCTGACGCAAATTCTGGTTCAACCTTCAGAAACTGCAGGAAAATTAAAATATAGGCCGTAATTTCTTGGTGTGACCCTACATTTAAGACAGTCTGATGCATTCATATAAGAGCCCAATTTTAAACTGTGTATTATTGCCTCAACTTAAAATGCATCTAATTTGAACAGCCCATCACTAATAATGACTTCCTATCATGCTTAATAATTGCCGATTCTACAATATTCCTTTCAAGCCAAATGGAACAATGGAAGATGACTCTTGATTCCCGCCAATTTGCAGGGTTATTACAAGCTCTAAAATGGTGGAAAATCGCATTCGGCTCCTGTGTTATACGTATCGAATAACGATGCGGGGACATTTTAACCTCCAATGACTTTCAAGTCTGTATAATATATATATATATATATATTATATAAAATATATATTATATATATATATTAATAATAATATATATATATATTTTATATATAATATATATATATTATATATAATATAAATATATATACATATATACACATATATATATATTCTATTATTTTTTATATATAAGACATTGTACATGCAAACGATGATTTACTTACACATTTCTAAGATTTAAAATCTGCTACGATTTAAAATAAATCTATTGTTATGGTAGCACTTAAATTTTATACCAATATTCTTGTGGTAATTGGTGTAAGTAATGACTGGGAATTTCATCCAACAATAAATCACATATAATGTTTGCAGTCAGTCCTGATGATGAAGATGATGAGAGAAGCGACTGTTCCTACGTGCAGGTCGGAGATCAGTGTCTGTTTTTCATCAACTTTCAAAACGACACTCGTGATGAAGCACAGTCGTTGTGTCGTGGCCTCGGGGGTAACCTGGTCGCCATTCACACTGCCACACAGATGAAAAATATTTTGAATTACATTTTAATGAAGGGTGAGTAATTTAATCAAGCCTGTGTATTTTTCTCTATAACTTAAGTAGGGCTCATTGTATCTACCAGTGAACCCACCTTCATTTACTGCTGCATGATAGTTCACCTTCATTTACTACTGCATGATAGTTCACCTTCATTTACTACTGCATGATAGTTCACCTTCATTTACTGCTGCATGATATTTCCCAACCTTCATTTATGCTGCATGATATTCACCTTCATTTACTACTGCATGATAGTTCACCTTCATTTACGCTGCATGATAGTTACCTTATTATCTGCTGAGATAGTTCACCTTCATTTATTTGCTGCAGATAGTTCACCTCATTTATGCTGCATGATAGTTCACCTTCATTTCTGCTGCATGATAGTTCACCTTCTTACTGCTGCATGATAGTTCACCTTCATTTACTGCTGCATGATAGTTCACCTTCATTTACTGCTGCATGATAGTTCACCTTCATTTACTGCTGCATGATAGTTCACCTTCATTTACTACTGCATGATAGTTCACCTTCATTTACTGCTGCATAAATAGTTCACCTTCATTTATGCTGCATGATATTTCACCTTCATTACTGCTGCTTGATAGTTCACCTTCATTTACTGCTGCATGATAGTTCACCTTCATTTACTGCTGCATGATAGTTCACCTTCTTTTTAACTGCGGGCAGATATTTTCACCTTCATTTCTGCTGCATGATGTTCACCTTCATTACTGCTGCATGATAGTTCACCTTCATTACTACTGCATGATAGTTCACCTTCATTTACTGCTGCATGATAGTTCCCCTTTCATTTACAGCTGCAGGATAGTTCACCCTTCATTTACTGCTGCATGAAAATTCACCTTCATTTACTGCTGCATGATAGTTCACCTTCATTTACTGCTGCATGATAGTTCACCTTCATTTAACTGCTGCATGATAGTTCACCTTCTTTTACTGCTGCATGATAGTTCACCTTCATTTACTGCTGCATGATATTTTCACCTTCATTTACTGCGGGCATGATAGTTCACCTTCATTACTACTGCATGATAGTTCCACCTTCATTTACTGCTGCATGATAGTTCACCTTCATTTACTGCTGCATGATAGTTCACCTTCATTTACTGCTGCATGATAGTTAAACCTTCATTTACTACTGCTGATAGTTCACCTTCATTTACTGCTGCATGATAGTTCACCTTCATTTACTGCTGCTTTGATAGTTCACCTTCATTTACTGCTGCATGATAGTTCACCTTCATTTACTGCTGCTGATAGTTCACCTTCATTTACTGCTGCATGATAGTTCCCCTTTCATTTACTGCTGCATGATAGTTCACCTTCATTTACTGCTGCATATAGTTCACCTTCATTACTGCTGCATGATAGTTCACCTTCATTACTGCTGCATGATAGTTCACCTTCATTTACTGCTGCATGATAGTTCACCTTCATTTACTGCTGCATGATAGTTCACCTTCATTTACTGCTGCATGATAGTTCACCTTCATTTACTGCTGCATGATAGTTCACCTTCATTTACTGCTGCATGATAGTTCACCTTCATTTACTGCTGCATGATATTTTCACCTTCATTTATTTGCTGCATGATAGTTCCCTTCATTTACTGCTGCATGATATTCACCTTCATTTACTGCTGCATGATATTTTCACCTTCATTTACTGCTGCATGATAGTTCACCTTCATTTACTACTGCATGATAGTTCACCTTCATTTACTGCTGCATGATAGTTCACCTTCATTTACTGCTGCATGATAGTTCACCTTCATTTACTGCTGCATGATAGTTCACCTTCATTTACTGCTGCATGAAGTTCACCTTAAATTTACTGCTGCATGATAGTTCACCTTCTTTTACTACTGCATGATAGTTCCCCCTTCATTTACTGCTGCATGATAGTTCACCTTCATTTACTGCTGCATGATAGTTCACCTTCATTTACTGCTGCATGATAGTTCACCTTCATTTACTGCTGCATGATAGTTCACCTTCATTATTTCAACACTAAGTTAACACATTTCAACACTAAGTTAACACATTTTAACACTAAGTTAACACATTTTAACACTAAGTTAACACATTTCAACACTAAGTTAACACATTTCAACACTAATTTTAATACATTTTAACACTAAGTTAACACATTTTAACACTAAGTTAACACATTTCAACACTAAGTTAACACATTTCAACACTAAGTTAACACATTTTAACACTAAGTTAACACATTTCAACAGTAAGTTAACACATTTCAACACTAAGTTAACACATTTCAACACTAAGTTAACACATTTCAACACTAAGTTAACACATTTTAACACTAAGTTAACACATTTCAACAGTAAGTTAACACATTTCAACACTAAGTTAACACATTTCAACACTAAGTTAACACATTTCAACACTAAGTTAACACATTCTAACACTAAGTTAACACATTTCAACAGTAAGTTAACACATTTCAACACTAAGTTAACACATTTCAACACTAAGTTAAAACACATTTCAACACTAAGTTAACCATTTCAACACTAATTTAACACATTTCAACACTAAGTTAACACATTTTAACACTAAGTTAACACTTTTCCCAACACTAAGTTAACATATTTCAACATTAGTTAACACATTTTAACACTAAGTTAACACATTTTAACAGTTCAAATAGCCTCCTCATTATCACTGTTAAGTGGAATTAATTATAAAGTAATATTTCTTCTTCAAGCATCTCAAGATGGAAATAAATTGTATAAAAAATCAACACAATGGAAATATAAACACTTAAGCAGTATAATGCGATCCTTTATTGACAACGTTTCGCCCACACAGTGGACTTTATCCAGTCACAAACAGATTTGCCTGGGTGAAACATACGTAAGTATTTATAGGATGAGAATGCTGGGTCAGGTGGAGAAAGGTGTATGTAACAATCTTGTGAGTAGGATGATAGATTCTTATGTTCATGAGAACATAAGAATGGAGGAACACTGCACAAGGTCTACTTATATACTTATACAATCACTTTTAAAAGCTTCCCAAGTTTTTAGACTTGTTCACTTTACTCCGAAGATTGTCACATGTAGCTTCTCCACCTGACCCAGCATTCTCATCCTATAAATATGACGTATGTTTTGACTTGATAAAGTCCACTGTCTGGGCGAAACGTTGTCAATAAAGGATCGCATTATACTGCTTGAGTGTTTATATTTCCATCCCAAGAAGAGTTACTAATGGCTTAGTGTGGACTTTACAGTGGTAAAGTGGTAGTTACAGTGGTAACTAAATTTCTGCTGATGCTATGCAAATCACTGCCTTAATGGACTGTGCTGGAGTTAAGGAATATTTATGGATTAGCATTTGGTTAAAGTTCGTTTGTATTAACTAGACAAAAATTATCATGATTATTAAAATTTGATATTTTTTTTTATTTTAACACATCATAACGCCACCTAAATTTAAATATTACCAGAAGTGGATCCTTGATTTAAATAGGATACCTGACGGCATTTCTCTCTGGTGGCTCGTGGCCTGGTAGCAACGCTCTCGCTACACACACACTGAGGTGTTCGGGTTCGATTAACTGGAGTATACCTAGAGAGGGTTTCGGGGGTCAAGGCCCCTCCGGTCTAGTCTGAGACCAGTTCTCGGGGTGGATCAGGGGTCTGATCATCCACGCTGTTACTCCTGGTCGCACGTAAACCGACGTACGAACCAAAGTCCGGCTAAATCAGGTTTCCGACTTTACGGCCTGTCCAGCGCCTTCTTGAAGACAGCCAGGGGTCTATTGGTAATCCCTCCTTATGTATGCTTGGGCCCCTGACACTTACTGTGTCTCTTAGTGTACTCGTGGCCCCTGCTTTCACTGGGGAAAGTTGCATCTCCTACCGAGTCTTTTGCTTTCGTAGGGAGTGATTTTCTTGTGAAAGCTTGGCGCTAATCCATCTATGATTTTCCATGTGTATATTAGCACAGGGTGACCTGTACTTAGCTCAGTGGTGATTTTGTACTTAGCTCTGTGAAGAATTGTTTGTGTGCTCTGTGAATCTAAACCAAGATGCCCCCCTCTTTTAGCAACTCTACCCGTAGCTAAAAGAGGACTTAGGGTTGCTAAGCTGGAGATACGGCGATTAACGGAGGAGAACAAGAGGATTCGTAGTAATCCTGTTGTGAGTCCCCCAGGTTCAGAGGGAAACCTGGTCAGTGGCTACACTACATGGAACCAAGCTGAGGATCAAGAAGACTGTTGGAGAGGTAGAAACAACGAAGAACCAGAAGACTACTGTGGAAACTTCCAACCCATTTTCGGTGCTACTTGACGAATGTGGGTTGTCTACCGGGAACGTCACAACGAGCACCAAGGAAGCACTGGCAGATGTGAGAGAGACATACCTTGAAGCCCCAACGAAGACCATCGAGAACGTCCATGTCGGAATTTCACAAGTGAAAGTAAGAACATTGTTTAGTGGATGACAGGTTAAGTTTATGGATAGGGCCTTTTGCCATAGGGACAGGCAGAGGAGGCAGAGGGTATGTTTTCCTGGGGCTGGATGGGGGAATTTAAGCCATCTGGACAACATCATGAAAGGTAATGGGAGCAATCCTATTATCTGGCCTCATTGCGGGAGGCAACGATGTTGGCAGACGTAGGAGTGGGACCTGATTAGCAGGTATAGGTCAGCAATAGAGATAATTAGGAAGAAGGGTGGGAACCCTGTCATATACCGTATTTTGCCAAGGAGAGGAGTTGGAAATGAATGGTTGTCCAGGCAATGGTGCAATTGCTGATGGACAAATACTGTAAGGAAAATGCGGTAACATTCATTGACAACTGGGACCTCTTCTATGGCAGAAATGACATGTATGCCAGGGATGGGGTTCACTTTTCTAGGTCTGGGGTGGGAGCACTGGCAACTGCAGTGGAGGGAGCTGTTAGGACTTTAAACTAGGAATAGATAGTGGTATGGGTTTTGGCGAGAATGCAGTGAA